GTAAGTCTGTGGTTCTGTTTGTTTTCCTGGTGGTAGTTTTGAGGCATCTTGTTTGCGAGCCGTGCCTGAAAAGACACACAGAAGAGTTTTTTCTAATTATTCTTTGTTTACCGGCTGTAAGTTCCGGCAGAAAGTCCTGGTTGTTCGTCAGTTTAGACTTGGGCTTTGAGTCAGAGCATGAGTTTTGCCTGTACGTCCGTTTTTCTGGCTTATTTGTGTGCAGCTGCTTGTTACTTGCCGCTTGGGCAGATGCACACTGACTTCGAAAGAAGTTCCCAATTAGTCGACATGCTTGTTGGGAAGGCAGTGGGTCTGTTGCGGCCCCGGAACCCACACGGGTGCTTTTCCTCCTCCTCCTCCTCCTCCTCCTTCATCTTCTTCTTCTTCTTCTTCTTCTTCTTCTTCTTCTTCTTCTTCTTCTTCTTCTTCTTCTTCCCCAGCACCGTGCAATATCTTGTCAGTAATGCACTTATTTCTGATAGTGACTTTTGCATGTGTCATCCAAGAGCTAGCTACCTCCAGTCAGGCGATGTCCCCTGCCCCAAGGACTCATGTAAAAGAAGTTTCCCGTCCCTTGACGTTGGGACTCATATAGAAGTTTCCCGTCCCTTGCCGTTAGGACTCATATAGAAGTTTCCCGTCCCTTGCTGTTAGGACTCATTTAGAAGTTTCCCGTCCCTTGCCGTTAGGACACCCCGTTTTATTGCATCATCATCATCAAATGCCTTGAGGACTGGCGTGGGTGATCATGCCTCTCCATAATCTGCGATCCGCAACTGCGTGTATCAGTTCATGTGTTGACACCACTCCATGCCATGACACACGGCTATCAAGAATTTTCTCAAGCTGTCTTCCTCTGTCACTCTTTCCACAAACCTTTCCAGTGGTCGCAACATGTTCCATTTTCCCTATTGTCATAAGGTGACCAAAAAAATGACGACTGTCTCTTTCCGATGTTTGTGATAAGTTGTCTTGGAGCACCTGCCTTTGTCAAAACATCTGAGTTACTCCTCTTAGCTGTTAAAGGAATTCTAAGGATTCTCTTGTAAAACCACAGCTCCGAGGCCTCAAGATATTGTTCGGCTTGTTTAACCGCATACACGGGTTAACAGTAAGCCAGTATGAGTGACTGGTTCAATCCCATCAGGACCGCTCCATGAGCAGTCAATACCCGGTGACACAAAGTGCCACCAGTCGGATGAGAAACCCTGGATTTTCTGGCGGGGTTTTCAGAGAACTAAAATTTGGGTGCTACGTTGGCACAAGACCAATGTGACTCTGCAATCGCCACGTTCAACCGGCATCCCCCAAAAAGGGAACTGTTGGTTATAATTGTGACTAGGTTTATGTGCGCCATAAAAAATGGCTGAGCATTGCTCGCCACCAAGTAGCCATGTAAAGGACCTTTGCAGTGTTGATGCGCTCAAGGGAGAAAGGTCCAGGTACTGTCCCGACGGGCGACGAAGTCGTCTATTGGTCAGTCAGTGGGCGATCCGGTCGCCGATGATGGGCCAGTATGAACCGAGGCGGCTGAAAAAATACTGCCCAGATCATAAATCTCGTGAATATTTAATTCACTAACGCCTTAAGTACAATGACGCACACCGATTTACCAGCTTTGCATTTTATTTTGATGTTGTTACGTCCATTTTTAGCACCCAATTCTGCTATTTAGCTCCCATTATGGCGACCTGACCGAGACTTACCTCCCTTAGTAGTAATAACTTACAATATTACCTCCCATGGTAGCAGTTTGACTGTTTGACTTACGTCCCCTCGACATCCGTGGGAAATTGGAATATCCCAGACAGGCAAAATATTTATGGTAACCTCAGTCAAAGGCTACATGACACCTCCTGTCTGTCCATATCTCCCTCCGTTCTGAAACATTGTTTCTGGTTTGACATTTATTTGCAGAGAGTTTTCGTTACCAGTTAGTGGGTTCTGTAGAAACACATGACAGATTTGCTGTGTTGCCAAGCGCTAATTGCATGGTATTCAGTTTCGTCCTTTTTAGGACGAAATTTTTTGTTATTTGAAGCCCCACCCTGGCTTTTGCCAGGGGCCGCAATATAGGCAGGCCATAAATATGGCCAAATGTCTGAACGCGGTTTCTGGGACCTCTCCACGGCGATCCTCATCCATATGGTGGCACTTTGTGTCATCGGGTGTTTATCGCTTGTGTGATGTCCTGGTGGGGTAGAAAGTCAGTCAGTCAGTCAAGCGCTAATTATATTCTTTACGTGCTTCTCAGGACGTAATTTTTTGTTATTTGAAGCCTCACTCTGGCTTTTGCCAGGGGCCGCAATATAGGCAGGATATCAATATGGCCAATTGTCTGAACGCGGTTTCTGGGACCTCTCCACGGTGATCCTCATCCGCATGGTGGCACTTTGTGTTATCGGGTATTTATCGCTTGTGTGATGTCCTGGTGGGGTAGAAAGTCAGTCAGTCAGCGCTAATTACTAGATTTTAATTGATTTTGTGAAGCTGATTGATATAAACTATTCATTGTCGTTTTTACCGTTTTTCTTCTTCTTTCTGTAATTTCCTACTCTACTTTAAAACTAATCAGTACACCACTCATATAATGTCGGGAGCTTTCGTGGTGTAGCGGTTCGTCGCTCGCTTGGTCGTGTGTTCAGGTCCTGGCGGAGTCAGATTTCTTTCAAAAATGACATTGACTCCTTTGTCGACCCAGGCTAAATTGGGTACCAGGTGAAGTTCTGGGAAGTAAAGGCAGCTAGCGTGATGTTGACCACACCACCCACCGATTGGTCTATAAAATGTAAGTCTAGAACTATGAAACCTGACGTCTGAAGGTGTCCATAAAGGATACTGTACGTCTCCTTATTGAACTAAAGTAGGTCCCATTTCTACGACTTCAGACATATTGAGCATGTAAAGCTAGACCTATATTTTATAGACCAGTCGGCACTTGGTGGGTGATGTGGTCAGCATCAGACCGGACGCCTTTACTCCCCAGACTGCACCTGGTTCCCACTAAAGGCTGGGTCGACCTGGGATCAAGGTCATTTCTGAAGAAAAACAAGTCCCGCTCCGTCAGGACGCGAACCCACGATCTTCCGATCCGCAAGCGGGTGTCCACTGATGAGCCTTTTCTGTTTAGCCCACTGGCCAACCTTTCCCAAGTAGTAGACTAATTTCTTAGCTGGGACTTACAAAGTCTTCACTGGTATCAAAATGGGACAGTAACGGACATTTTTGTGTGACTGACACTGGCACAGGAACGAAATAGGTATGCGGTGCACCCGTCTGCACTAATGTTGCAGCCTCGACTGATGACTGACGCTATTGCTGCACCACGATTCCAACAAACTTCCCGTTGACACATTTTGTCCACTTTTTGTGTGCAGAATGCAGACATTGCTGAGATTTTTATTAGTAATGGTTTGCTTGTACTCTGGAGCGATGCCAAGTCCTTCCAGTCTGACGACTAGCCACAGTCGTTGGTCCAACAGAAATAGACTTGACCAATGTCTGGGTCACTTGCTGGCGGTAAAATCGATTGGCACTACCGTGTCATGTTCACTGCGGAGCATAGTCTTCTTCTTCTTCTTCTTCTTCTTCTTCTTCTTCTTCTTCTTCTTCTTCTTCTTCTTCTTCTTCTTCTTCTTCTTCTTCTTCTTCTTCTTCTTCTTCTTCTTCTTCTTTCTTCTTTCTTCTTCTTCTACTTCTTCTTATTCTTCCTTCATCATCATCGTCTTCTTCTTCTTCTTCTTCTTCTTCTTCTTCTTCTTCTTCTTCTTCTTCTTCTTCTTCTTCTTCTTCTTCTTCTTCTCTTCTTCTTCTGCTGCTGCTGCTGCCTCTTCTTCTTCTTCTTCTTCTTCTTCTTCTTCTTCTTCTTCTTCTTCTTCTTCTTCTTCTTCTTCTTCTTCTTCTTCTTCTTCTTCTTCTTCTTCTTCTTCTTCTTTCTTCTTTCTTCTTCTTCTACTTCTTCTTCTTCTTCCTTCATCATCATCGTCTTCTTCTTCTTCTTCTTCTTCTTCTTCTTCTTCTTCTTCTTCTTCTTCTTCTTCTTCTTCTTCTTCTTCTTCTTCTTCTTCTTCTTCTTCTTCTTCTTCTTCTTCTTCTTCTTCTTCTTCTTCTTCTTCTTCTTCTTCTTCTTCTTCTTCTTCTTCTTCTTCTTCTTCTTCTTCTTCCTTCATCATCATCATCGTCTTCTTCTTCTTCTTCTTCTTCTTCTTCTTCTTCTTCTTCTTCTTCTTTTTCTTCTTCTTTTTCTTCTTCTTCTTCTTCTTCTTCTTCTTCTTCTTCTTCTTCTTCTTCTTCTTCTTCTTCTTCTTCTTCTTCTTTTTCTTTTTCCTTATCTCTTTTCCTCCTCCTACTATTCTTCTTTTTCTTCCTTTTTGTTCTTCTTCTTCCTCTTTCTCTACTATTCTTCTTCTTCTTCTTCTTCTTCTTCTTCTTCTTCTTCTTCTTCTTCTTCTTCTTCTTCTTCTTCTTCTTCTTCTTCTTCCTCTTCTTCTTCTTCTTCGTCGTCGTCTTCTTTTTCTTCTTCTTCTTCTTCTTCTTCTTCTTCTTCTTCTTCTTCTTCTTCATCTTCTTCTTCTTCTTCTTCTTCTTCTTCTTCTTCTTCTTCTTCTTCTTCTTCTTCTTCTTCTTCTTCTTCTTCTTTTTCCTTATCTCTTTTCCTCCTCTTACTATTGTTGTTCTTCCTCTTCTCTCTCCTCTTCGCCTTCCTTCTACCATTCCTATATTTCTTCCTCTTTCTCCTCCTCCTTCTCTTCTTCTTCTTCTTCTTCTTCTTCTTCTTCTTTTTCTTCTTCTTCTCCTTCTTCTTCTTCTTCTTCTTCTTCTTCTTCTTCTTCTTCTTCTTCTTCTTCTTCTTCTTCTTCTTCTTCTTCTTCTTCTTCTTCTTCTTCTTCTTCTTCTTCTTCTTTTTCTTTTGTTTTCCTCTTCCTTTTCTTCTTTTCCTCCTTCTCCTCATCCTCCTCCTCCTCATTGTTATTTTTATGAGCGTTCATCGTCTGTAAACT